AATGTTTTGGGAAGTCAACCAAAATGAATAGGAAGATTTAATTTTCTTTCTAAGTTTCCGAAAGTTTTATAATAAAGAAAAATAGGATGCTTTGTTTTTCTATTTCCTAGATCTCCTATATTTCTCTAATACTTTCTATTTCACTTATTTTCCTATTTATTATATTTTTTAAATTTTATAAAAAAAGTATCACCTTAGTTATTAGGTACACTATTCATGATATTTATTCAAATATTGAGATATTAATTTGATTACTGAGATCCGAGGTCCTCAAGTTTTGTTCTTACTAAAAGCTTCCTAAATTTTATCTTCAAACTCTTCATGTCCTCCATCAATTAGTATCAGAGCCTTAATCGATTCGTCACGTTTCCCTAAATTTTCAACAATTGACTTCCCAAAATTCTCCAAATGCTTCTTCCATATACATTCTGTCTCTCCTTATTCTTCTTTAAAAATTAAAAAAAGAAAAAAAAAAAACTAGACTAGGAAAGCAAGTGAGCTTGTTCATTGGCCACCGCTCAGAGGTGGTTGATACCACCTCCAGCATTAGCCTTAGAAGTCCCAAATCAGCAAAACCCCAAAGTCCCACAGCAAATTGATATTCACTTTTTAGAATTGCCCTTTCACTTTTTGAGGTTAGTTGGCTCAATTTTTTATTCTTAATTCACTTTCGCAAACTGATATTGGACAAAGCATGTTTGGAGCCAGAGAAAAATTGGATGGATTTAAAAAAATGAGTAGAGTTCTTTTAGTTATATTTTATCGAGTATATGGTTCAGTTACAAATGATAATCTACGATACGCTTTATACAAAAGTATAATCAACATAGATATGTGAAGAAAATTAAAACCAATCGATATTCTACAAGGTTGCAAGCTTTTCTGACCTATGAACTTTACAAAGATGCTATCTGGGCTCAAAATTCTCTCAAAAGATATTACTTATATGGTAGATGTTATATAATGGAAATCAAATATTATCTTCTGATGTCTAAAATAGTGAAAACAAATGCTCCACCTGCAAGAAACAAGAAGTCACAAGAGCAAGGGCACCTTTTATTCTTATAAAGTTTTGGGGGATATAAAAATAGTTATCCAAGATTTAAGTAATAAGATTAATATGCATGAAATAAAGATGAAGAGAAGTAGAGAAGTTCTTGAATCTTTAGTTACACAAAAACCTCGCATATCAAAGATGTCAATAGAACATGAGGAACAAATAAAGGATAAAAGGGTAAATGAATTGGTGAGTGAGGAAAATCTCATGGAAGAACTGCAACCTAATGATCAAGAGTTAACTAATGATTTTGGTGAGTTATTTGAGATAGAAGAAATTGTGAATGAAGTTGTTATTCTTGCTGATTAAGTTGAATTTTCTAGCAATGGATTTCTTGATTTAATTGTAAGCAATAATGTTGTTGAGGTTGAATGTTCTTGTTGCTTTACCTGAAGATACTACATTACATATTATTTGGCTCATAACAGCAACAAGGAAAGTTTCGTTGTTCGTCCTTTTATGGATTTTGTCATTCCTAATTGGTTCATTATGTTTTCAAAATCCTTGATTTCAAAAGCATTCATGTTGTCTCATTACAATTTCAAGTGTCGCAAACTTCAATTGTTAGGAAGACATGTTCAAATTTTAATATTCTTTCTACTTCGACACTTAAGAACTTGAGACCGAGTTTTCACCAAGTGGGGGAGAATGATGCAGAACAGAAAAC